AAGAATATATTATTGGACCAAATTGCCTTTCAAACAGTACAACCATTGATGATTTAACAGAGCTTTATAAACACTTCCCCTTGTTATTAAACTTTGGATGTGGGACTTTCTTTACATTAGAAACAAACTGCAACTTCACACTTCCGCTTCTTTGCAAACTTTAACATTATCACCCTTTCGATATGCATCAAGAACAAGATTTATGCTTACCAACGCTATTCTGGAGCTCAACCAAATAGCATTAGTAAAAACCACACCTAAACAAATTGGAAAAGAGGTTCAGCTTACCAACCATATAGTATCTTTGAAGATTTCAACAGGAGGTCGAATTGAAAAAGACAGTTAATTGACTCAAATAGCAGCAAGTAACATTGAAATATAATAACATATCTTTAGTAGTAGAATAATTACGACTTTAAATACAAGGTATGGAGTTAAAGCTTGACCTGTAATGACACTTGCATGAAGTTAAGCTTGACCTGTAATGGCACTTGCATGGAGTTAAATAGCCACATAGATGGGTGTGTGTAAAAATTGCAAAATTGTTCACAAAGTCAAAAAAAAGAAAAGGTTACAGTATTACTCACGACACCATCTTCCATTTAACCTCTTTTCAACTCTTTCTCTGTTGGGTTAACATGAATGGTTTGTAAAATATTTTTAAAAAACCTATAAAATAGGAAAGGTCAGCTATTAAGAAATACAAAAGAAATACATCGGTTGAAATTGTTGGAAATCCACCAAATTCTATGATGAATTTCTACTACAATGACAATTTAATTATGAGACAAACAAAGAAAAGAAGACAAGACAAATATTTCTGCAGAGTTTCTCTCTGCCCACAAACTGTGGAAAACTTTCTTAATCACTTGCAACTGCAAATTCTGTGATTACAATGAATTGACTTACTTGACTTGCTTTAAAAATAGGGGTTACTCCCTCTATTTATAACCGAGCTTACACCCTAAGCCCAAAGCCTAAAATATCTTTTTGTTACTAAATCAAATCAAATCAAATCTATTTTGGACTTAAATCAAATCTATTTAAATCTAAAATAAATCAAATCTTCTTTGACACTATAAATTACAATTTAACACACCACCTAATTCATTGTGTCTAAACTGTCTATGTTCATCATGACTCTTAGCTTTCTGAATACTTCGACTTGCACCCCCTTCGTCATGATGTCTGCAATCTGATTCTCGGTTCTGCAGTGTTCCAAATTCATCTTCCCATCTGCTACCTGCTCTCGAAGATAATGGAATCTCATTTCGATGTGCTTACTTCGACCATGTGCTATTGAGTTCTTTGCCAGATTAATAGCTGACATGCTGTCTATCTTCATGGTAATTGCTCCATGATTTTTCTCTGTTATCTCTTCGACCAAATTCACCATTCAAGTTGCTTGACATGCACAAAGAGAAGCAGCTATGTATTCTGTTTCGCATGATGATAATGCCACTACTGGTTCCTTTCTTGAATTCCAAGCAATTGGTGCACCACCTAGCATAAACACATATCCTGCTGTTGACTTTCGATCTTCAGCATCACTACACCAACTCGAATCAGTGTATCCCACTAACTTGCATTCTTTTCCTTTATCAACTGCAGGAAACAAAATGCCATAATCGAAAGTTCCTTTGAGATACCTTAGTATCCTCTTCACTGCTACTAGATATGATACCTTTGGCTTCTGCATAAATCTACTTACCATACCTACACTGTATGCTAAGTCAGGCCTTGTATGACAAAGATATCTTAATGATCCAATAAGTCTTCTGTATTGGGTTGGATCAACATCATCTTCATCTGCATCTTTCGACAGTTGCAGTCTTGGTTCTGCAGGTGTCAAAGTTGAGTTGCATTCTTCCATCTCAAACCTCTTGAGAATTTCTCCTGCATGTCTTCTTTGATGCATCATCAAACCTCTACTGCTCTTGTAGAATTCGATACCAAGGAAATATGAAATCTTACTCAAATCAGACATTTCGAATTCCTTGCTGAGATCACCTTTGAAGTCTTCGATCTCACTTTTACAGCTACCTGTTATCAACAAATCATCTACATAGAGACATAGTATAAACAATTTACTCTTGCTTCTTCTTACATATACTCCATGTTCAGTTGTGCACTTCACAAATTCCTTCTACCTTAGAAAACTATCAATTTTCTTATTCCAAGCCCTTGAAGCTTGTTTCAATCCATACAGGGCTTTATGTAGCCTGTACACCTTTCTTTCTTCGTCATGTTTCACAAACTTCGAATCTTTTAATGCTTCAACTGCATTAACAGGTTCGACATCTACATAGAAATCATAATGTACCAGCTCACCTTCATTATCTATTACATCATCTGATGTAATCACACAATCTTGCAATCTTGCAGGCATGCGTCTTGTTCTTTGGGGTCTGCTTGTACTTGGTATATCTGCTGGTTCCTCTTGTCGAACTTCTCTTTCGACTTGAGTTTCTGGCTCTTCGAATAGGATTCTCACTGAATCTTTCTTGACATTTGCAGTCCAATCCCATTCTTTAAACTCATCTATAATCACGTCCCTGCTGATCACAATCTTCTTGTTCTCTGGATCGAACAACTTGTAGCCTCCTGTCGAATGATATCCAACTAGGACCATTTGACTTGACCTGTCATCAAGTTTTCTTCTCAACTGATCTGGCACATGTCTATGTGCAATAGATCCAAATACCTTCAGATGACTCAAGTTAGGCTTCACACCAGACCAACATTCTTCTGGAGTAATTCCTTCTAGCTTCTTTTTAGGACATTTGTTCAAAATGTATGTTGCAGTCGAAACAGCTTCACCCCAAAACTCTTTAGGTAAACTCTTGCCTTTCAACATACTTCTCACCATATTCATAATGGTTCGATTTTTCCTTTCTGCAATTCCATTTTGTTGTGGAGTATAGGGTGGCACCACCTCATGCACAATCCCTTCCTTTTCACATAATCTGTCGAAGTCTTTCGACACATATTCTCCACCACCATCAGTTCTCAAAACTTTGAGCTTTCGACCACTTTGTCTTTCGACCATAGACTTAAACCTGGTAAATACTTCGATCACTTCACTTTTCTTCTTGATCAGGTAAGTCCATAGCTTTCGACTGAAATCATCTATGAATGTAACAAAGTATTTGTTACCTTCCATCGAATCCACCTGGATTGGTCCACATACATCAGAGTATATGACTTCAAGACTAGCCTTCGATCTGCTTCCTACATCCTTGCTGAAGCTATTCTTGTGTTGCTTCGCCTGCACACATTCCTCACATACCTCGTTTGGAATATCAATTTCTGGCAATCCTGAAACCATATTTCTTCTCTTCAAATCTCTGATGTCTCTGAAGTTGAGATGACCTAGTCTATAATGTCATATTCATTCATCTCTGCTAGCTGCAGTCGAAAGGCACTTGTGCTCTATCACATTTAGTTCAATCTTGAAGGTTCGATTCTGAGACATAGGAGCTTTTAAGATTACTCTCCCATTTGCATCAACGAATCTCATCAACTTATCTTCGATTGACACTTTATAATTCTTTTCGACCAACTGCCCTATACTGAGCAAATTGATCTTCATGCCTGGTATGTACAACACATTGGAGATTACTGACCTTTTGCCATCTTTCCTCATAATCATAACATCACCAATACCTTCAGCTGCCAGGGTATTGTCATTTGCAAATTTTATCATATTTTTCTTTGAGGGCTTTATATTGACAAACCAGTCTTTCCTTTCAGACATATGTGATGAACATCCTGAATCCAAGTACCATTGGTTCTTGAATCTATCTTCATCTCTTGTTGTGACCATCAGCATCATCTCTTCTTCTTCATGTTCTGCAAGCTTTGCATCACTTTCTTGATTCTTTCGTTTTTCTGGACAATCACTCGAATAGTGTCCATATTTCTGACAATTGTAATATTGAATGTGACTCTTATTATGTCGAATCAAAGAAGACCATACCAAAACAACCAAAGAGGTGGTGTTACAACACTTATTATGTACCACTCAAATCATTTACGATATAACTCAAATAACTTACTTAAAGTACAAAGCACAGAGAAAATAGGAATAAGAAATGAAAATGTTTATATAACACTTTTACACATTTATTATTAATTCTATAAGTTAATGGGCTGGTGTGAAATGCAATATAGGCTTAGGCCCAATAATATATTTTGATAATTTAAAATAATAATACATAAAAAATATTAATAAAAATTAAAATTAAAATTCTAAAAAAAAATAATAATGGTAATAAAATATATAATACATAAAAATATTAATAAAAATTAAAATAATAATTCTAAAAAAATAATAACGGTATGAAAATATAATATATAATTAAAAAAAATAGAAGATTTAAAATAATAATAAAAAAATTCCACGTGTATTTAAAAAAATAATTAAAAAATCCACATGAACGGTCACATTTGCAAAATAAAAGAATCTTTACTACAATGCAATGGGACAATCAAGGATATATCTGAGAGAATATGAAAATCACGAAGGATGTTTTAAAAAAAAAAAATTTACCAAGGACTAAAAACTATTTAACTGAAAAATATCGTTTATAAAAAAAAATCAATCAAACAATTAATCATGATTATTGTTTAGTAAAAAAACTCAATCAAACAATTAATCATGATTATTGTTTAGTAAAAAAACTCAATCAAACAATTAATTTCAGCGATTATTGTACCATACACAATTAGATGAAATGGTACAAGTATATATATCTTTCAGCTTAATGAATGATCATGACTTCTAATTTCAGAAAATAGTAATCTAATGTTCAACTTCAACCACATGCAGTGAATAACCATCCAAACCAAAGTAATAACCCGAATACTTTAATTGCATGAAAAAATAACTTTAAATAGACCTAATCAATACCATTTTAATTCATCAATAGACATCTACAACAAAACTACCACAGTCCAGTAGCTGCAAAAAATCCTAAATTTAACTTATGTCAAACCTCCTAAGATGCCAAAAGAGTTGTTACAAGTATAATCATCCAAAGGAAACTACTCATCCTATAAAATTCTGCATGAGAAGTGTGAATCTCAATTGGAAACCTGCAGCGATCCTCAGACGGATCAACGGTTGTGATTAAACCAAGTCCACCAAAGTCGCAACTTTCAGCTTTCTGATCATGTTGCTGATAATAACTATTAAAAGCATATGATACATTACTAGGCCACGTGATGTTAAAGCAAGATCCACCAGAAGATAGTGCAGTGCAATCAGCATTTGCACAAGCTTCTAAAGCTTTTGCAGTTGCATTCGACAAGTCTTCATTGTTGTTCACAACACACCATTTGGGAGAAAGATACTCTACATTTTGAGCATTCACTAGGCTCTTTGAACCCTGACCGAGTTCCACGTGGTATTTCGATTGACCGTCGAAGGTGAATAAACCCCAATGCCTTTCAAAGTTTCCGGCGGCAATGCTCCTTTGATCTTCGTCGAGAAGGCTATGAATGTATGTTTCGTGTGGGGGTTGGTGTGGTCGAAGCGGGGTTCCCAAGTTGCTATGAAGGTGGTTCATTAGGCCTTTCATGAAGGTTTCAGCTAGGTACGAGGTTGCGTTGATAGCTCCATCGGTTGGCCAACCAATCTTTGAAACAACAATTTCCATATTAGGAAATCCCACTTTTGATAAAACAGTAATTACGGTATCGTAGCTCAAATCGAAACTATTTTTGTATGTTTTGCGGCTAAATTTATGAGGGTGTGCAGTTCCTTTAAAGAGTGAAAAATCAAGAGAAATATTTTTGGTTTGGAGGAAGGTTATGAATGGCGAAATGGTCACGAAGAAAGGCGATCCGTGCTTGTTGAGAAACGTGAGTAGCTCAATCATGGTTTTGTTGACGTCGGATCTGAAATGCACTTCAGTAGACGAGTTGGAACTAGACTCAAAACTATCAAAGCTGCATGGAACTACTACTTTCACTTTGTCCAATTTTGCTCTATTTAAAGCAGCTTCAATGTTCGTAGCAGCTCCAATTATGAAGGGATGGAATTGTTCACCATAACTTTTAAGAAACGGCTCGTCGCCAACAGCAACATATCTGCATAAGTTAAATTTAGAACCATATATGTAAAATGAATCATACTTCAGAAATACATAATCCATTTTCTTTCAACTGCCAGTGATTTTTTTGCCCCACTGTCAAGCAGGGAGCATTCTATGATTTTATTCTGTTGTACTTTCTGAAACAGTATCAAGATATTATTTAGACAAAATGAATGGCAGATATAATTGTCCTACGACTAGAGGGAAGAACCATGTATAAGAAATATGTTCTGGAATTTGTTTTTGACAGTAATGAAATCTCAGCCCTCAGAAGCATTTCACTGAAATTGGAACACAATTCATACACACAATACTGCTAGAGAGTAAAATAATGCCGAAATATCCATTGGAAAATTTCATGTTATCAACAAATCATGTAGACCGAAATCACTACTCTTCCACAACACTACTTCCATTAATCACTTCTTTCATGAATCATGACGGTCATTGATCCCCTTTTTGTTTCATGACATAGATCATACCTGCTGCAGTTGATTCACTGCTTTAAAACTGATGCACTTTTTTGAACACCAACATTGGCACAGACACATCCTTTTTGGACACCGACACTGGCACAAACACATCCTTTTTCAGAGGTGTCGGTACTACAGAGCGTATAGAAAATGCTATAAACAATAGTTAGGTAAAGACAAGGCTCTTTCATATTCCTAAGTTTTGTGCCACAGTTTTCGACCAAACTTTCACAGTTGTTCACCATCAATACTTCAACATACACCATACTAACCTTTGTAGCACTGACACCTTGAAAAAAGACATGTTTGTGTCTGAGTCCGTGCAGGACACCGACACCGACACTTTGAGTATGTTTATTTATTTGTTTTCCTAAATTATTACTGGTGTTGCTATATCAGTGTCGTGTTCAGGGTGGTTGTGCTTCACCATCCATCCCATAACTTATGTGAAATCCATGTTTCACTAAATCTTTCTCATTGCTTGCTAATTCTTGTTTCACTCTACACTAAGTCTTTAGGTTATTACCAAATGCCATAGCAACAAATATGAAAAAGCTAGAAAAAAACAAAAATAGGAATACAATAACAAACAACAAAAGCATGAACAAGAAAAAAGAGAACCAAGAAAAACGACATACTCAATTCTCGCTCCACCTCCTCCATTAGAAACATATCGCGTAACATTATCATGAACCCAACTCTCCGCAGCCTTTCTAGAAGAATTCAAGCCTCTAAGCATAACATTAGGAACACCGACCGTAACACCAATGTTAGACCCAGAAAGAGCTTGAAGAACATCGGCTTTTGCATCAAACAGTTTCACTTTATTAATGTTGTTGGACTTCAAAAGCTTCACTACTTTAACAGGTGGAAGAGGGTGCGAAGCCATGGTTCCCCAGTTCACACCCACTGCTTCGGCTACACATGATATGCTGAAAATGGTGAAGATTGTGAATGTGATGAAGGAAGAAACAGTGGACATTTTTGGTTCTGAGTTTGGGGTTTTTTTGATGATAGTGGAAAAGGTTTCTTTTTAGTTTGTGCGAATTTTGTCGGGGTTTTAAGTTTTAACCATTGTACTGGTTGAGAATTTTATTTAATGTATATTTGAATAGTAATCTATTATTACTTTGTGTACATTTGACATTTATTAAGTGGGTTAATTAAAAATGATAAAATTTTACGGTGGGTTATTTTTATTTAAATATCAATTATAATTAATATAATTTAAAAAATATTAATATAAATAATTTTTATATAAATTATATCTCTAACTTACAATATAATTTAGTTCTGTTGATCTTCTATAGTATTTTTAATAATTTAAAATAAATTTTATAAAATATGTAATTAAAAAAATAGATGAGTTATATGTGACATCAAACTAATCATTGAAATAGAAAATAAATAGAGTTACAAAATTAAGATAGATAAATATAAATTTTATATATAATAAAAGATTTAAAAAAATAGTTTAGAGTTCAATAACAAAATTACAATACCAATAAAATTATTTAAAAAATTATATCATATATCAGAATCGATTTCTTCTAATCCATTATCTTCTTAAAAAATGAACTTATTAAGTATATATTAAAAAATGACATATAATTAAACAAATTATAAATAAAAGTCTATGAATAATTATTATTTATTATAGTTAATAGATTATATAATTCATTGTAATTAATAGATTATACAAAGAGACTTAAATAGTAATAAGAACAAAACTTCTTATCCTATTTTTTAGTCCTTTTATTTATTTAATTAATAATAATAATAATAATAATAATAATAATAATAATAATAATAATAATTATTATTATTATTATTATTATAATTATTATTATTATTATTATTATTATTATTATTATTATTATTATTATTATTATTATTATTATTATTATTATTATTATTATTATTATTATTATTATTAATTAATGAGTGAATTAATAGAAAAAAAAGTTATGATACGTAGTTAGTGCTAGTGAGAGATTTCTTTTTCATGTATTACTGTTGGTTACATTAATAGTTAGTGGTTGATTTTTGTTTCAGACTGGTCCAACGGCTATGGAGTGGGTCCAGTCTCATCTCCTCCTTCGGTGCAGCGCGTACGACCATGGTCCAGGCTCTCCTGCCTCTCGTCGGACATCATTGATCGTTTTCCCTCCTGGACCAGCACTGACATACGATAATCAACGAGCGTCTCTCAGTCTGTCTGACCTCAAGTCGGCCAAACAACCAGGAACCAACCAGACCGCTGCCTGCAACCTACCTCCTCCTCAGAACTAACAATTAGATGCGGACATACCTGCCCGGTTTGACCAAGTCTTCACAACTACCTATTTTCGGGAGAGTGGTAACCGCCAGAGCCATCAAAACTCAATTTCTGCTAGTAGACTGCTCGTCTCTCTATCAATGTATCTTCAGGAGGCCTACTCTGGCCGAACTAATCGCGACACCCTCTATCATATACCTTAAAATGAAATACTACACCGTAGAAGGTTTGGTCACCAAACTCCACGGAGACGTCCAAGCGGCAAGTAGATGTTTTGAAGCCTCGACCAGGGGCTTGAGTTCCATCAATGCTCAACCCCGAACAACCACTGGGGTTGCCCTGCCCTCCAGCTCCGAGGAGGCCAAGCCACTACCAAGGTTCGACGTCTCGATAACTGCTTCTCCAAGGAGGATCACGCGGAGCAGAGGAAGAAAGGGAAATGGCATATGGTCAAAGGCGAAGGTTCATCCCTAGCTATAGATAGAGAGGAACTCTCAGATCATGTACGACCTATTCCAAACATAGACTTCGAGATCATCCCCCTCGGGAACGATCCCACCAGAGGAGTAAAGATCGGAGGTGACCTCCCTGACTTGGCAAAGAGAAAACTTAAAGCTTGCTTGAGGAACAATGTTGATCTACTCGCCTGGAGTGCAACTGAGATGCCTGGATTGGACCCAGAGATTGCACGCCATCACCCGACGATAGACCCTGCCCTCAAGGAGGTCTCCCAGTGTAGAAGAAAGCAGCCCCTCGAAAAAACAAAGGCTGTCGAACTAGCTGTAAAAGACCTCATAGAGGCACACTTTATTTCTGAAGCCCATTACACAACCTGGCTCTCGAATGTAGTTCTTTTAAGGAAATCTAATGGAAAATGGCGTATGTGCATTGATTATACCGACCTCAATCTTGCCCGAAAGATGCTTATCCCCTCCCCCAATATTGACAAACTGGATAACAACTCGACCAATTTCAAATTATTATCTTTTATGGATGCATATTCTGGATACAACCAGATTCCAATGGCAAAAGCGGACAAAAAATACAACGCTTTCATGATCGAGTCGGGAAACTATTACTACAACGTAATGCCCCTCGACCTGAAAATGTGGGCGCTATATATCAGCGCATGATGAACAAAGTCTTCTGCAACGAAATAGGCGACATGCTTGAAGTCTACATGGAAGACATGATCGTCAAATCGACGGAAGAAATCAACCACGCCCTTCGCTTGAAGAAAGTTTTCGAGCAGGCCAGAAAGTGCCAGATGCGATTTAACCCAGAAAAATGCACCTTCTGCGTACGACCAGGAAAATTCCTCGGAGTCTACCTCACAGAATGAGGGATTGAGGCAAACCTCAATAAATGCCGAGCATTTTTTGAGTTTCCAATACTCACTTAGAAAAAATCCATTCAAATCCTGAACGACATGCTCACTTCTCTCTCTCTCTCTCTCTCTATTCGTGGCAAAATCCGCCCAACACACGCTCCCCCTCTTAAAATCCTCCGCAAAAAAGCTGCCTTCGAATAGATGGAGGAATGTGAGCAAACTCTCACCCATTTGAAGCAAGCATTATCACAACCGTCCGTCTTTTCTCAACCAGAGAAGGATGAAATCCTCTATCTCTATCTGGTCGTCACCCTGAGGCAATAAGCGCAACACTAATCAGAGAAACCCCAGAAGGGCAGTGGCCTATCTACTTTACGAGCAAGGCCCTATAGGGCCTCAAAGTAAGATATCAACAAATTAAAAAGGTGGACCTAACCTTCATCAATGAGGCGAGGGGACTCAGGCACTATTTATTGGCGCATACCATAGTCGTCTGAACAGATCAACCAATAAATCAGCTGCTCGGTAGGCCTGACATGGCGGGCAAAATGTTGAAATGGTCGTTAGAACTCTCCGAGTTTGACATCCAGTACAAAGGCAGGAAAGCCCTCAAAGCTCAAGCACTGGTCGACTTTGTGGCCGAAATAACCTCGCCCATACCCTCAAATGGGGCACGCTGATGGACAATTTTCGCCGATGGCGCCTCTAGTTCGACAGGAAGCGACGCATGCATTATATTGGAAAATGAAGAAGGAACCTGAATCGAGGTCTCTCTTGAATTATCCTTCCCGACCTCAAACAACCAGGCCGAATACGAGGCATTCCTAGTAGGTTTACGCCCTGCCAAAGACTTGGGAGCCGAGGAGGTGAAAATCTTCACCGACTCTCAAGTTATTGCATGCTAGGTTCGAGGAAAATATCAGGTGAGAAACGATCACCTCTCTGAGTATTGGGCCCTAGTCCAAGAAAGAAAAAAGAAATTCAAATCCGTGAATGTACAACATGTTCCCCGCGAACATAACGCCTGGAAAGGCATCTTGTCCAAACTAGCAAGCACAAAGAGGAAAGGGGGAGCAAGTCGGTGATACAAGAAATTCTTCCCCGACCGAGCATCCAGAGACCCCCTTCGACTTTTGGAGTATTCCCCATGGGGACAAGGACTGCTGGATGACCCCCGTGCACGACTACCTCGCAAAAGGGGAGCTACTCGCCGACTCAAAAGAAGTGGCCATGGTCAGACGAAGAGCCTGCTCCTACGTCCTGGTCGAAGGAAAATTATATAGGAGAGGGTTTTTCATTCCCCTTCTCAAATGCGTTAATCAGAGAAAAACATATCACATCCTGCTCGTGATCCATGAAGGGATAAACAACCAACATCTAGGTGGAAGATCCCTCTCTAGGAAATCTTTACGAGCAAGGAATTACTGGCCCACCATGCACTATGACACAAAAGAGCACGCGAAGAAATGTGACAAATCCCAGCGGCACAGGGACATGCACTTGGCTCTCCCAAACAAGCTCAAGTCCATCTTTTCTCCTTGGCCCTTCGTCTGGTAGAGGTTAGACCTCATCAGTCTGTTCGTGGTAGGTACCAATCAAAACAAATATTTGATAGTAGTCGTCGACTACTTCACCAAATGGATAGAGGCAGAAGCATTGGCCAAAATTACCGCCCAAAATGTCCTTCTCTTCTACAAAAGAAACATCCTTGCTCAGTTCAGAATCCCACAAGCAATAGTCACCGACAACGGGGCCCAACTCACAGATCAAACCTTTCAGGAATTTATCGCCAAGTTTGGCACCACCCTACACTTCTCCTCTATCGAACACCCTTAGACGAACGACCAGGCCAAGTCTGCAAATGGGGTGATACTCATGGATCTCAAACAAAGGTTAGATGAAACCAAGAAAAGATGGGTCGATGAGCTACACAACATACTCTGGGGGTATCAAACAACAACACACTCATCAATCGGGGAGACTCTTTTCCGACCAACTTATAGAACGGAGGTCGTCATTCCCGTAGAGATCAAAGAACCCTCCAGGTGAAACGAAGCTCTCCCAGACGAGGAGATGAATAACGTCACCCTACGGGAAGAACTAAACATGGTCGAGGAGATCCGAACAAGAGAGGCCCTACGAGATCTCTCTCTCAAACAAAAAATATCCATGTGCTACGACACCAAAGTCATATAACGAGATTTCGAGGTCGACAGCCATGTCTTAAAGAGAAATCGCAAAGAATCTCACGAAGGCAAGCTCGCAGCAATCTGGCAAGCCATGGATCAAGGAGTAATAATTAGAAAATCTACAAGGGGAACAACTTGGTCGACCATGGAACGCTGAAAAAGCTAAAAAAATATTATAGTTAAAA